GAGGACATGGATATTTGGCTTTGCACATTCTCGACCTTATTGACCCTCCGCCCCCGTGACTCCTATTTTGTAGATAGTAAGAGAAGAGCAATACGAAAATCAATTGGTGGAGATGGAAATGGTTCAGCAGGATGATGATACCATTGTAAAACTTGAGAATGCTAATATGCAAGCCTCTGAATTAGTTAACTCCTCGATTCTTGAAAAATACAGTACATGGAAGAAAGAAAATGGGAACAAGAACCGAGTTTCAACCATACGTCTAATGCGAGACCAGATTATTATGGCAAGAATATATTTGAGTGTATCGAAAAAGAAAATGAAACAGGGGTTGCGTCAACAGCTCTTAGTTTGCCTCAAAAGGAGTCGTCGTGCCCTAGGAGAGGCAAATGTTGATGCTGAGCTGCATTCCAGGTAATAGAACTTGGTCGTAAAATATGTTGAGAATTATTGGGAGTGAGTCTCGGTTAATTTAGTGGAAGAGTTTATAAGTGAGGAATACTATCTCCATTGTAGGAGGCTTTTTAGGGAAAGCCCAAAGCAAAGCCACGAGAGCTTATGCTCAAAGTGGACAAATAACATACCATTATGGAGATTCGTGATTCCTAACATGGTATCAGAGCCATGCCCTAAACTTAGTCATGTCAATAGAATCTTCAAATATCGAACAAAGAATTGTAAGTCTTGAAGATGTAGTCAAAAGTGACTAAAGTGTCGAACAAATGGTGTACTTTGTTCGAAGCTCAACATTAAGGGGAGGCTTATAGTGTACTTTGTTCGAGAGGATGATTGTTGAGAATTATTGGGAGTGAGTCCTACATTGGTTAATTTAGTGGAAGATCATGAGTTTATAAGTGAGGAATACTATCTTCATTGGTATGAGGCATTTTGGGAAAGTTCAAAGAAAAGCCACGAGAGCTTATGTTCAAAATGGATAATATCATACTATTGTGGAGATCCGTGATTCCTAACCGAATATCCATCATGATAAAATGTACAAATTCCATGCTTGTTATTTCTTTTCCATGATGATCATAAGGACTCTTCTCATGTTAAACCTTACATTGTTTTGTAGTGCGCGCAAGAGAATAAAAGAAATGAATGCTGTTCTTTCCAAGGCGAGAGATGAACTGTTTGATTGCGAGTTCGTGACCAGGAAATTGAGAGCAATGCTTCTAACTGAAGAGGAAAAGATTAGAAGGTTGAAAAGGCAAAATACATTTCTCACTCAATTGGGAGTTAAGGGTATTCCAGGTGGTATTCGCTGCTTGTCCTTGCGCCTTACCGTTGATTACTACCTTCTGCCTCCGGAGAAGAGAGAGCTCCCTAAAAGTGAAAACTTGGAAAATCCAAAACTTCACCATTATGCGCTCTTTACAGACAACGTGTTGGCTGCAGCAGTCGTTGTGAACTCAACCGTAATGAATGCTAAGGTGAATTCAACTCATTAATTTAGCTCTTTATTCATGAAAATTTAAATTGTCCTAATGAAGAGGATGAACATAACCATGAGAGCTTATGCTCAAAAGGGGAGTCTCACATTGTCTAATTAAGAGGGAATCTCACAAGTAAAAAATGCATATTCATTGTTATGAGGCCTTTTAGAAAAACCAAAAGCAAAATCATGAGAGGTTTTCCCTTTAACTTAGTCATGTCAATAGAATCCTCAATTGTCGAACAAAAAGTTGTGAGCCTAGAAAGTATAATCAAAAGTGACTCAAGTGTCGAATAAATGGTGTGATGTAATTTGTTCGAGGGATCCAAAGGAGTCGAGCCTCGATTAAAGGAGATTGTTCGATGGCTTTATAAGCCTCAAGAGAGGCTCTATAGTGTACTTTGTTCAAAGGGAGGATTGTTGGGTGCATCCCACATTGACTAATTAAGAAGATGATTATGTGTTTGTAAGTAAGGAATACATCTTCATTGGTATAAGGTGTTATAGGAAGTCAAAAGCAAAACTATGAGAGCTTATATTCAAAGTGAACAATATCATACTATTGTAAAGATTCGTAGTTCCTAACATGTTTCACATGCGTGTCAGATTATGGTTAAATTTTATTTCCGTATGTTGTATTCTAACGAAGGCATATTTCCTTCTTTGCAAAACAGGATTCCTCAAAACATGTATTCCACCTAGTTACGGATGATCTCAACTTTGGAGCAATGAAAATGTGGTTTCTATTAAATCCTCCAGAAGAAGCCACGATCCACGTAGAAAATTTAGATGAACTGAAGTGGCTGAACTCATCCTATTGCCCAGTACTGCGCCAGCTCAAATCTGCAGCAATGAGAGAATATTATTTCAAGGCAGGACGTTCAACCACTGGTTCATACAGTGCTTCTAGTTTGAAGTACAGGAACCCAAAATATCTCTCAATGCTCAATCATCTAAGGTTCTATCTACCTCAAATTTATCCCAAGTTGGATAAAATTTTATTTCTGGACGATGACATTGTTGTCCAGAAAGATTTGATTGGGTTGTGGCTCGTAGACCTGGAGGGAAAAGTCAACGGTGCCGTGGAAACCTGTGTTGACAACTTCCATCGTTTTGACAAGTACCTTAACTTCTCAAACCCTCATATTGCTAGGGAGTTCGATCCGAATGCGTGCGGTTGGGCTTACGGAATGAATATATTTGATCTCAAGGAGTGGAAGAAGAAAGATCTCACTGGCTTATATCATATCTGGCAGAACTTGGTTAGTCTTGCACCCATATCTTTTTTTATTTTTTTATTTTTTTTAATTGTGTTTTGATTGGATAAATTTATTAATAAAAATACCATAAAATTTATACTTTTTTAAAAAATATATTTAAATTTTAAATATTTTTTTAAAGTTTTCAAAAATATCTTTATTTTTTATTTTAGACTGCAACAGGTTAGTTTATTTAGTTTAAAATAGTCTTTAAAATTTTTAAATTTCTTTCGATAAAATATTCTTTTATTTTATTAATATTTTTACTACTAGTATCATATTATTTACATTATTATTAATGTTACCTTAGTAAGTTTAGGGGTATTTTTGAAGTTTATTATTAATAGTTCAATCTTCGTGCTTTTAAAAATATTTAAAGGTAAGTTTGAAGTTTTTATAAGGGTGGTAATGAAATATTTTAAGAAGGTAGAAATGTGTTTTTCAAACCATTGAAGTTATAGTAAAGTTTTTTCATCCTAAATAGGGTTATGTTTATTAATTTAGGGTAAATTTCTTTATTTGCACCCACATCAAAATGACTTAGATTTTGCAATTTGGTTGCAGAATGAAGAAAGGCTGCTTTGGAAGCTGGGAACATTACCTCCAGGTTTGATGACATTTTACGGGCTGACATATTCCCTGGAGAAGTATTGGCATGTGCTTGGTTTGGGTTACAACCCAAATATCAACCCATCGGACATAGAAAATGCAGCTGTTATTCACTATAATGGCAACAGGAAACCATGGATGGAGATGGCCATTACGAAGTATCGCCCATACTGGACAAAGTACATTGACTACGACCATCCTTATCTTAGCCACTGCCACTTCATAAAATGAAACTAAGAATTGAATGTGGATATATAATCGCAGCTACACTACAGGTCTCTCTCTGCTAATCCCCTCTGAGCCGTAAATATTAGCTCTCTAAAAAATAAAAAATAAAGAGGAAATTGCACCTTTAATGCGAGAGGAATGCCATAAGTAAATAAATAGACATTATAAGATTTATATTTAAAGTAGACTAATTTTTCAAAGTGCCAATTGGAATTTTCAAAATTACTATTATTTTGTAATGATCCTTAAATCTTTAAATTTTCTCCTTAAATCTTAATTAGATTTTAATTTTATTTTCCTTGTTATAACAAAAAAAAAAATGTCTAATAAATTTTGAAACCCAATAAATTAATGGTGATTTTTTTTAACGAATGACATCAGATTTTCAAATTAATTGAGAATTTTTAAAAGTTAAAAAACAATAAAATTATAAAATTATCTTTAAAAGAATCCATCGTTCTAATAACTTCGCGCTCTCTTTTCCCTTACGGTGCGAAAAAATTGTTGATGCGATTCTTCGTACTCATTCTGTCGGTTATCGTGATGTCGACAATGGCGCTGAAGAAATGATCGCAACTGATTTGGCCAAGCACGAGGACGAATTAGGCTGAGAATAAGGTTTGTTAGGATCAATTATGCAGAAACGATACTAGTTGTTAGCTCTGATACCAATTGTTAGGATCACACTCGATCAAGATGAACACAAAGAACAGGAGAGAGAACAAGTTTCCTGCATAGGCAATGGCCACCCCACGCCACCGTAATTCCGGCAAGTCCAAGTGAGCGAGGGGAGGCAGTCGAGAATGGGGGAGGTGAGGAATTGGGTTAGGGTGACCTTGGAAAGCCATGGTTTGAGGAAATGAAATCTGTTTGGGAATTGGGATTCCAGCCATGAGCACACTCGAGGAAGCTCATTGGTCTGTTCATCTTCGGGTGCCATTTAAAAAGGGTATATATATTTCAGAAAGCTCTCAGCACAGAACACTGAGGCAACTAACTAACTAACTAGCACAAAGTAAGCCAATTCGAATAACCTTAGAATAATTACAAAGACAATAAAAGACTGTAACAAGTGCTGGGCATATTTAGTTTATAATAACCATGAAATTCATTTAGGACTAATCTTCCATCACCAGCTAAGTACCTTTGATGATGTTTATGCAGGGAATAGTGAAGAACAGTTTCTAATATACAAGACATGATATTATAAATGAATAGATTCCCACAATACTTAGTGAGATCCTATCTTGGTTGGAGAGGGAAATGAAGCATTCTTGTAAGAATGTCGAAACCTCTCCCTAGTTGATGCATTTTAAAATTGTGAGGAAAAGTCCGAAAGAAAAAGCCCCAAAAAGACAATATCTACTAGCTCCTACAAGCTCCTACACCGGACGGATTAACTTTAGAAGATAGAAACCCGGTATTAACGAGCTTCTTCTCAGCATAAATTATGAGAGAAAAAAAACACATAAAACTTCAAGGATGTTGAGTTGAATTCACCAATACAAAGCAAGTTACCTCTGTCATTAAGTTTTGTAGTTTCCCTGTTGAACTCAGCTAGCTGCACCTCAACTAATCCACATACGGAGACACCAAAGGTTTGTTTGAGAAGAATGCCTCCAAGTTCCCCAACGCCAATTGAGTCAATCCCACCATAGATTCAGTTGTTAAGACAGCAACATGTGGCGACAACACTACATTATCAAGATTAAACAGCTCTTTAGGAACTTCAGGTTCATTCTCAAACACATCCAGCCCAGCTCCCCCAAGCTCCCCTTGAATCAAGCGTCGAACCAGTTCTGTCTCGTCGACGATCGCCCCTCGGCCGATGTTGACTATCACTCCATCTCTGCCTAACGCAACCATCACGTCCCTGTCGATCATATGGCGGGTTTCGGCCGTTAACCCACAGCAAATGATGAGGGCTTCACAGTTGGCTGCAAGTTCATGGAGATCGGAATAGAAGGGGTATGGAAGTGTTGGCTTTTTGGTTCTTGAATTGTATGAGATTTTGCAGCCGAAACCTTCTAGCCGTTTGGCTACTTCTGTGCCTATTTTCCCCAATCCAACTATCCCAATTTGCTTGCCGCTTAACTGTGAAAATTTTAAAACATCCAAATTCAANTCCACCTCTTCAATAAATCAGTCACATCATTGAATCTTTCTGTTACTGAGGTGATTGGAAATGAAGAACAGAAAACAGGAATTAGCAATAAAACCATTGGACCTTTAATGCGAGAGGGAAATCCCCTTGCGTAGGCCAAAGCCCTTGCCTCACGAACCGATCTCCTGCCGACACATTCCTCAGAACGTCGATTAGTAATCCCACCGCCATGTCAGCGACATCTTGAGAAAACAAGTTTCCTGCATAGGCAATGGCCACCCGACGCCGCCGTAGCTCCGCCACATCCAAGTGATCAACACCGGCGCTGGTAGTGACGACGAGCTTCAGCGACGGGAGGCAGTCGAGAATGGCGGAGTTTACTAGAAGACGGTCACCTGGAACAACGAGCATGGCTGGGACGGATTGGGCATACGAGGTGAGAAATTGGAGTAATGGGAGTTTGGAATCCCATGGTTTTAGCATATGAAATCTGATTGAGAATTGGGATTCCAGAGATGTGAAAATTGCGGGAGGACTTAGAACCAAAACCTGAGGAAGCTCGTTGGGTTGCCTTTCGACCGCCATTCTACTTTCTCGTAAACAAAAAAATTAATAATAAAACAAGCCGAATTCCCTTTGGCTGATTGGGTGAGGGAGAAAATAAGGAGGAATGTTAGGATCGCTCAACCACCCGCACACATGTTCAACAAAGGGCACACACTCAACAACTCATATACACACACTCAAGATGAACAAGGAACAGGAGAGAGAAAATATAAAGAAGAATGTTAACATAGCTCAACAACACACAAACACGAAGATCATGATGAAAGCAAAGAATACAAAGAGGAATGTTAGGATTGCTCAACAATGTCATAACACCGCACGCACATTCTTGATCAGTTCTCGCTCATTCTTGATAAATTTATATAAACTTTTAATGGTAAATAATTAAAATGAAAGAATTAATTATATCATTATATCATATGATTTTGGATCATAAAAATCCCACCTCGGCTAATTTAGGAAATGATTTTTATAATCAAAGAATACCTCTCCGATCTTTATAATCAAAGAATATCTCTCCATTTGCATGAGGCGGTTTGGGAAAGCCCAAAGCAAAGCCATGAGATCTTATGCTCAAAGTGGACAATATATACTATTGTAGAGAGTCATGTTTCCAAACATGGTATCAAAGTTATGCCCTAAACTTAGTCGTGTCAGTAGATTGGTAAATCCTAAAATGTCGAACAATTTAGATCTAAAAATTTTGTTTTTCAACAAGATTATTAGATAAAATCTCAAGAGTTTGTGTGGCATTTTATGTCCTATGATTGATGCATCAAACAAGATGTTCTTGAATTCCCATGATTTGACTGAGTTTTGCACCGAATTCTCAAGGATCTTCTCGGTGATGGAATTTTCACAGTTGATGGTGAGAAGTGGCGTCAGCGCTATGAGTTCTTAAGGTTTCAAAACGCGTCCACTAGAGAGAAGTTCTCCTCTCTAATCGATGTGAGATCTCACAATAAGTATTCTTTATAAGGGTGTGACACATTTTAAAATCTTGAAAGAAAGCTCAGAGAGGATAATATCTGCTAGCGGTGGGCTTGTGTCAGTGAGGATGCTAGACCCCAAAGGGAGGTGAATTGTGAGATTCCACATCGGTTGGAGAGGAAATCGAAGTATTCTTTATAAGGTGTGGAAACATCTCCTTAGTAGACACGTTTTAAAATCTTGAGGGGAAGCTCGGAATGAAAAGTCCAAAGAGGATAATATTTACTAGCGGTGGGCTTGACCTGTTACAAATGATATCAGAGTCAGACACCGAACGATGTGCTAGCAAGGACGCTGGATCCTGAAAGAGGGTGGATTGTGAGATCCTACATCGGTTGTAAAGAGGAACGAAACATTTTTTATAAGAGTGTGGAAACCTCTCCCTAATAGTATCTACTGGCGGTGGGTTTAGACTATTAGATATGGAGCTTGACATTTTACTATGATATGTGAATTTAGATGAGGAACGATAACATATTGTCGAGATTTCTGCAAGCGGAAAAGACCGATCCAACGTATCTAAGAGATATTATACTAAACTTCGTCATAGCTGGAAGAGACACAATAGCAGTTACCCTTGCTTGGTTCATTTACATGCTTTGCAAGCATCCTGCAGAGGAGAAAATTTTCCTGGTAAGCTAATTGGTCCATGTTCGACTCTGTGAACGGTTGGATATGGTCCATGATCAAAGTATACCAAAACAAATGGATTAGACAGAAAAAACAACTTGAGAGAGAGGTCTTTTGAAAAACGTTAAGCACCTGTGCTTTTCAATTCTGTTTGTTGTTATGAATAGAGCATAACCTTACGAGTATTTATAAGGGAGAAAACACTAACAAATTTTCTAAACTTTCTCCTTGCGTTAGCAACTACTAACAATATAACTACGGTCGATTATCCTCTAAGGTAATAATTTCTTTTGCTAAGTCAAGCTTTTTAACCGTTCATGTCTAGTCAGCCTTGTAGCTTCCAAATTTTAGGCAAGTTTCATATTTTTCGGCGGAATGAATCGACTCAAAATGTTAAATTTTCGAATTGCAGGATGCGAAGATTTGGTTTTCTGATGATATTCTACCAGACGGATTTAGTGTGAGAAAAGGAGATATGGTGTCATACCAACCATATGCAATGGGTAGGATGAAGTTCATATGGGGTGACGACGCCGAGGATTTCCGACCCGAGCGATGGTTCGACCGAGATGGAAAGCTTCAGCCTCAGNGGTGAGAAGTGGCGTCAGCGCTATGAGTTCTTAAGGTTTCAAAACGCGTCCACTAGAGAGAAGTTCTCCTCTCTAATCGATGTGAGATCTCACAATAAGTATTCTTTATAAGGGTGTGACACATTTTAAAATCTTGAAAGAAAGCTCAGAGAGGATAATATCTGCTAGCGGTGGGCTTGTGTCAGTGAGGATGCTAGACCCCAAAGGGAGGTGAATTGTGAGATTCCACATCGGTTGGAGAGGAAATCGAAGTATTCTTTATAAGGTGTGGAAACATCTCCTTAGTAGACACGTTTTAAAACCTTGAGGGGAAGCCCGGAATGGAAAGTTCAAAGAGGATAATATTTACTAGCGGTGGGCTTGACCTATTACAAATGATATCAGAGCCAAACACCGAACGATGTGCTAGCGAGGACGCTGGATCCTGAAGAGGGTGGATTGTGAGATCCTACATCGGTTGTAAAGAGGAACGAAACATTCTTTATAAGAGTGTGGAAACCTCTCCCTAATAGTATCTACTGGCGGTGGGTTTAGACTATTAGATATGGAGCTTGACATTTTACTATGATATGTGAATTTAGATGAGGAACGATAACATATTGTCGAGATTTCTGCAAGCGGAAAAGACCGATCCAACGTATCTAAGAGATATTATTCTAAACTTCGTCATAGCTGGAAGGGACACAATAGCAGTTACCCTTGCTTGGTTCATTTACATGCTTTGCAAGCATCCTGCAGAGGAGAAAATTTTCCTGGTAAGCTAATTGGTCCATGTTCGACTCTGTGAACGGTTGGATATGGTCCATGATCAAAAACGTTAAGCACCTATGCTTTTCAATTCTGTTTGTTGTTATGAATAGAGCATAACCTTACGAGTATTTATAAGGGAGAAAACACTAACAAATTTTCTAAACTTTCTCCTTGCGTTAGCAACTACTAACAATATAACTACGGCCGATTATCCTCTAAGGTAATAATTTCTTTTGCTAAGTCAAGCTTTTTAACCGTTCATGTCTAGTCAGCCTTGTAGCTTCCAAGTTTTAGGCAAGTTTCATATTTTTCGGCGGAATGAATCGACTCAAAATGTTAAGTTTTCGAATTGCAGGATGCGAAGATTTGGTTTTCTGATGATATTCTACCAGACGGATTTAGTGCGAGAAAAGGAGATATGGTGTCATACCAACCATATGCAATGGGTAGGATGAAGTTCATATGGGGTGACGACGCCGAGGATTTCCGACCCGAGCGATGGTTCGACCGAGATGGAAAGCTTCAGCCTCAGAGCCCTTTCAAATTCACAGCCTTTCAGGTATGACTAATACAATTCAAACAAAATGGTTTGCTCTGGAGAAAGTGCATAATAGTATTGTTTATAAGACTGATGGTTCACAGGCAGGGCCACGCATATGTCTGGGGAAAGAGTTTGCTTATAGGCAGATAAAAATCCCCTATTTTCGGGCTGCTAAACTTGGGTGGGTCTAAGCACGGGAAATGAGCCATGCGGGCTGCTAAACTTGGGTGGGTCTAAGCACGGGAAATGAGCCATGCAAGAGACTAAACTTGTGCCATTCCCAGACCTGCTGAACACTAGAATTCGGACCCCTACTATACAAGAAAACTATACATTTTAATATGAAGTTGAGAGGAAAACCTAGCAAGCATCGGGGCTCGGATCTCCTTCCACCCCACGCGTTTGTACGGGGCTGAGTGTCCATTGATGTATATGATACAGGCTATGATTTTGTAAAGGGGCTGAGTGTCACGGTCATGCTTGTTCAAGACGTGTTGCTTGTGGCAGCGGGTTGAATGTCGCAGTCATACTTGTCTAGGGCGAGTTGTTCATGGTTGTATGTCCGTTTCAAACTTCTTTTATTTGCTTTCATGTGTAGCTAGGTTTTACCATTTCTGTCATGTCAATATGGATGGTATGATTGTTCACTATAATCATGTCTATACCCATCGTGACTAAAATGTTTAAAAATCGATTCTTGTTATCTTCTATTTTAACATTTATAATGTGTAGCCATCTTCTGCTTCCAAAAAGGGGATGTAGCTCACATGGTAGAGCGCTCGCTTTGCATGCGAGAGGTACGGGGTTCGATACCCCGCATCTCCATGTTTTTGTCTTTTTTTTTCTTCCGTTTTTCCTCTGTCGTCGCCGTTATCTCTCCTCTCATCTTGCACAACCCAACACCCCTCGCCGTCGTTCTCGGTTCCGGCGACTGATGACGTGGCTACTGGAACAAGTGAGAAGGAGAAGGGGTTTCGAGGGCGTGGCTTAATCAGCCCGTGTGAGAGATAGCGGTGCGTGGGTTCGTCGACATCGTCGGCGTCGTGCAAGGCCACAGGAAGAGGCGGGCGTCCGGCGACTGAGGACGGCGAGGGTAGGAAATGAGGAAGGAGAGTGGAAGGAAAAGATAAAAAGAGAAAAAATATAGTTGTTTCTTTCTTTTAATTGTTATTAGAAAATTAAATTAATAAATTTACCTTAAAAATATCAACTTTTTTTTTTTTACACTTTAATTTTTAAAAATCATAATTAAAATATATTCTTAAATTTTTTTTTAAAAATTATTAATATGTTTCAAAATTTAAAATTAAAAAATACCCTCTTGGTTATAACTACGATTAAAAAATGCCCGAAATATTTTAAAAGTATGATCAACACATTTTATCTTTATAAAAAAAAGTTTAAAAAATTTCTTAACGTCTATCAACCACTCATATGTTATTTATAAATTTTTTAATGTTACTCTTGTAGTACTAATATGTATCTTTAACCGTTAGATTGTGTGCTACTTCAAGCCACAAAAGCATCTCATAGATGGGTCATATTTGATCTAGAACGAATTTTACATACGAGTCTGAAATTCATGATAAACATAAACAAAGTCAATAGGTAAAGAATAATTAAAGTACCTTAAAACCTATAGCGATGCCTAATAACTCGAAGGTTTGTTGAGAATTGGAAACCCTACACCTATAAAAGGACGCCACCATGGATTGCTATTAGAGAAACAAACTGAGCAAATAGCTCAGACCAAAGTCGAGATAGGCGATTTAAGTATATTTAATGAAAGGACGGTTGGACGGAGAACCCAACCTTGGACAAAAAAAAAAAAAAAAAAAAAAACCTCTAGAAAAGGTTAGTTATAAAACTTAAGNTAGTTAAGGTAAATTAATGTTCCAAAGAAGTTGGATAAATAATATATGATATTTGGGAAGTATTTAAAGAATATATTTATTTATAGATCTAAATGTTACAACATTGGGTTGGGGATGTAGCTCACATGGTAGAGCGCTCGCTTTGCATGCGAGAGGTACGGGGTTCGATACCCCGCATCTCCATTCTTTTATTATGCCTTTTCTCCTCTCATCTCACCTGCCTAACACCCTCCCCGTCGTCCTCGGTCCCGGCGACGCCCACCTGAACTGAAAAATATTTTAATAAAATTACAAATTTATTACCAAAACTTTATTTGGTATCTCATATTTCAAAATTATAAATTTGAGCATTAAATATTTTTATATATAGAATAAAGAGCTTTAATAAAACTTTTCAAAATTTTTAATTTTTTTTTAATTAAAAGGATTACTAAAAAATTTAAAAATTAAATAATATATTTAATATAAAGTACGAAGCTCAACATATTTTTCCTAATTTATTCTTATATATATTTTAAATTCATAAAATTGAAAACTTACCATTTCAAGATTAAGTTTTATACTATAAATTAATAATTTTTTAAACAATTTAATTTTTAACAGATATTTTAAATATAAAATTTATAAATTATTAAATTATTAAATAATTTTGAAACTTCAAGATCTAGATCCTTAAAACTTCATATTTCATTTAATATATTTTATTTTTATTTTTAAAAATTATATGAAAAAAAAAAAAAAAAACTATTAGTATTTATAAAATTAAAATTTATAAGAAAAAACAAAAATACAAAATTTTATCAAGCATGGTAATAACGCGGTGTCGGTACCTTTACAAATTTCCGATCGTCCACTCTCCGGCGTATCCGTTTCCTCCAATTGAAGCTTAGGCACAGCGATCCTTGAGAAAACCCCATCAATTTCTCTAAAACCGTAGCCTACTTCGTTCGAACTGTGTTCTTTCGCGTCTCTTTCGTTACGGAGCTCAATCTTCTCATCCATAGACGACTAAAGCCGCGCAGAGGATGAAGTTCTTGAAGAATTTTTGTAATCTGGTCAGAAACAACTACTAGTGTTCTTTCGCGTCTCTTACCTTGTCTTTATGGATTGTTTCCTAACCGTAATTTTTGCTTAGGAATGAGTTTTTTCAGAGGTGTAGCTGAATATATTGGATCGATCTTCTCAGAAGTGAGCTCAATTCACGATTTGTCGCAGAATCGTGGCCGCGAGAGTGCTTCAACCATGGAGGGCGTTAATGGGATTCCTGTTTCGAACGAGCGCTATGCTTCCAAGCTCAAAGGGTACTTCGATTTGTCCAAGGAGGAGATCGCCAAGGCCGTCAGAGCGGAGGAGTGGGGCTTGATCGACGATGCCATCCTGCACTACCAGAATGCGCAGCGTATTCTGGCCGAGGCCAGTTCAACCACCGTGCCCTCGTCTATCAGTTCTAGGTATTGAGAATTCTGCTAATTTGCTGGATAATTACTTCCCGGTGCACCATTTTATAAATCTTGGCGCTAGACTGTAACCCTATTCATGTGTTAATTTTGAATTCTGTGAGGGTATGCAATGAATCCATTTCTGAACTTTGAGAAACAAATAATTTGTGACATATGGTCCAAAGTTATAAAACAATTGGAGTTTTAGTTTTGGGTTATCACGTTTTTTAGTGCAAATTTTGAAAAAATAAACTTGGGAATCTTTGTCATGTTTACCGCCAAGATTTAATAAACAATTGGAGTTTTAGTTTTAGTTTATGTTTTATTATTTTGTAACTCAATGTTCTTACACCCCTTAAAAAAGATATACCTATAAATTGATGGAGTACCAGGCAAAGTTCATAGATTTAGTGCTCTTTCTGCTCTATGTATGATCTATTATTTTGTTTTCCATCAGCGAACAAGAGAAGGTGAAATCTCATAGACAAATCTGGTCTTGTAATAACTTAATCTATTTCATTCATGATGTTCTTGGTTTCGGACATTTGATAACTTATAATCTATCTCTTATTTTTCTATCTTCTAATTCAGGTGTTACATCCTCAAACAAGGTACGTTTCATCTGTATGAAGTGTAAGTGTTCAATGTAATATTATATTATCTTACTTCAATTAAAAACATTGCTATTCCTCCGCCTTCTCGTGGTGAGTAAGTGCTTGAATGTATTATAAATCCTAAACTTGGATGACTTGAACTTCATATAGGAAAGAAAGAAATGTACACTTTTCTGGTATCTTATAAACTTGGTGTGTTAGGATTATTAACCAACGTAAGTCATAGGTTATCTCTCTGGAGTTCGAAAAGTAGACTTTACAATCATCTGGCTGCGTGCTTGAAAGTCAGGGTCCAATAATGAAGCACTGTTGGCAATCTTATGAAGAAAACATATTCTTCTTTATTTGTTTTTCATATTTGAGATATGGTGCAGGTATATTAAAATGATGATTTCATTTTCAATGTATTTTTATTTTATTTTATCAAATTTTATGTCAGAGCTCCTCGAATCAAGTGCCAAGAGCTGGAGTTGCTTCAACAATGCCAAAAATTAAAAAGCCAGTGCTAAAGAGCTCTCTTGGTGCAAGTAATCCAATAACGAGAAGTCAACCAGCTAGTGTTGGGACTTCAAAATCTATGCAAGAAGCTTCTGATGGATACGATCCAAAATTGGTTGAAATGATAAATACTGCTATAGTGGATCGGAGTCCTTCTGTGAAATGGGATGATATTGGTAATGCATTCATTCCCTTCATCTTCTCATATACTGCATTTTATTTCAATCTTTTTCTTTTGTACTTCTACTCTTTAATTGGACACTGATTAGTCTGGTTTGGTTGTAGCTGGACTTCAAAAGGCAAAGCAAGCTTTATTGGAGATGGTTATTTTGCCCACAAAGAGAAGAGACTTATTCACTGGTCTCCGAAAGCCTGCTAGAGGTAGTGCTTTTAGTAACTGTCACTATAGTTCTCTCCTAAAGTGCCATTCCATCTTACGCAAAATGGGTGCTGTGTCAAGTTTTATGGGCCTATACATCATGCATTACTAGACGTTTATGGTTTGGTTTGAAACAATAAGAATGATTATATTTGGTTTGAATGTTTTCTAAATGGGTAATTCAAGTTGAAATTTTTTTATCTGATTAAAGGAGTCGTAGGTTGCAAGGCCAAGTACAGCAAACGAGATGGAGTTCTAACATTTCAACTTCTCTGAGAAGCTAGTCTAATGCTGCCATGTCTCATCATTGTCAACCCCCCCCCATTAGTTGGATTTTTCAGTCCTCCATCTGATGACCAAATCGATCTTAAATTTTATTAACACATGTAGTTTCATAACTTATATTTGTGGAGACCTCCTGTGAAAAGACCTTTTTATTTTATGGATGTCTCGGGGGTACTTATGTTTAGAATTATTTGTCAAATTGGCATTTATTGCTAAGCAATCATATTTCTCTGTAATATACCGTGATATCAGCACAATCTTAAGTTTTTAACACATTAATTTCAATATTTTTCATCTATTCTTTTACTTCCAATAAAACATGTCAAGTACCTCCTCTTCTTACGAGTTCACCCTTTCTTTAAAGTTTACAATGTGTTAGAGCCGAGCTTCTGGAGATTTTTGGGAATTTAATCTCATTAACTGTTTTTGTGGATCCAACATTAACACATGTTTCCTCAGGTCTTCTTCTCTTTGGTCCCCCCGGTAATGGGAAGACTATGCTTGCTAAAGCCGTAGCTTCAGAATCAGAAGCTACTTTTTTTAACGTGTCTGCTGCGTCCTTAACATCAAAATGGGTATGCCTCAATTCCATTTCAAGAATTATCTTTTCCTTGTGGAAAAAATTCTTTCGTGTATTTCCCTTGATCCCTTTCTGTTATTTTTCTGTGCAAATTTTAATCAGTTGTATTTGCTCTAAGGTAGGGGAAAGTGAAAAACTTGTTCGGACTCTCTTCATGGTTGCTAAGTCCAGGCAGCCCTCCGTAATTTTCATGGATGAAGTATGTCTCATTCTCTTGCTAAACCATTATTTTAAGGATGAGTCAATAGTACATTATTTTTGTATGCTTAATTCTTCTGTTTAGTTTTGTTTTGAGTGCATTGTAGTTTTTGGTTGTTGACATGAAACTAGATAAATCACAGAATTCTTTTAAAATGTTAGATGGCAACAAATTAACTTTTGTATGCTGAAAATAGTTTTTTTTCCTGCTTTGCTGAGTGGCTTTCTGCCATTACAACCAGAGAACTTGAAACTTGAGCTATTATATTTATATATTTGTGTATATTTTGTTATTACCTTTACTATGGGTTGATAACATTTCACATAAATTTCATTCTTGTTATTAACTATTTCAAAATTTAGTAGAATTGTTTAGTCCTCTAGAATTTTCTCAAATTTCATTCTTGTTATTAACTATTTCAAAATTTAGTAGAATTGTTTAGTCCTCTAGAATTTTCTCTCTTTGTTCATATTAGAATCTCCTTGACCTGCAAAGACTGGTTAGTTTGTCGAAATTTCAGTATAGTAAGGAGACTTCATGTACAGAATTCCATGTAAAATGACTAAAAAGCCATGTAAATTATCTGGAAGGAAACGACCTTAGACAAAATGCTGCAAAGTGAAGGTGCCTTTCAAATGCTTGTCCTTTACACGGAAGGAAACGACCTTAGACAAAATGCTGCAAAGTGAAGGTGCCTTTCAAATGCTTGTCCTTTACACAAAATATGTACTTCATATTGACAATAATAATAGTATGGAATCAATAAATGCTAAGCATATCTCTACCTGTGTTTTTGAATGCCAAGCAATCAATGGTTTATTTGGCAGGTTATTTGCTTTGTGCAACATCACTGATGACATTCTGCTTTTCTTTTTTCATTTGACTGTACAGATTGATAGTGTCATGTCAACAAGACATGCTAATGAAAATGAAGCTAGCAGGAGGCTGAAGTCTGAGTTTCTAGTACAGTTTGATGGAGTAACATCCAATTCTACTGATCTCGTAATCGTTATTGGTAAGCTTTGGTAGAGCCAAATGATATTCCTCCTTTGGCAATTCTTTTGTTTGCATATTTACATTTGCGCCCCACGTGCCTTTGATGCCCTCCATTTATTGAAAAGCTATATATCTGTACTATTTACCCGTTTTTTTTTTTTAAAAAGGTTTTTAGATCTATTCAAATAAATTCTTATGCTAAATCTCACTCCTGTAATGTACATTATTAGACATTAAGCAAAAGTGAAACAAAATGTAACTATTGACTTTTAACTCCCAATTCCCATTTGGTTTATTGCTAGGTTGTTTTTTTATGTTTTTCTTTTTTCCATCCGATATACAAGGTTTTATGCTTTTGTTCAGGTGCTACTAATAAGCCACAAGAACTGGATGATGCAGTTCTCAGGAGATTGGTATGTAAATTTAATGGTTCTTTGTTTTGTTTTGTTTTTTTTTTTTTTTTTTTTT